CTTCATTGTGGTAAGCAGAAAGACGGGATCCGATTGGATGCTTTTGTGACAAATCCGGAATTCCCACATATGTATGGTTCAGCAGAGTTAGCCTTGAACGCTACTACTGATATATGTGTGTTTTGACTAGTGTGTGAGTGTGTGTCGAAGAATATGTTTTTGAGTCTACTCACTACTTATCAAGATGATACGATGTTTTGTTAAACAGCTCTACGGGAAAAAAAAGTGGCTAGTTCATAAGATCTATTAATGACATCTATCTGTCAACGGATGACGCATGTGCAGTAACGTTCCATTTGATTGGCTGACATGATCCATGAAAGATAAACAAGCTAATCCCCAGATATTCAAATTGGCTCGATTGAACAAACCTCCAAATAGGAGCGTCTAATGGTCATCAAATAAAATTTATTGTTTAATCATCACTTTTATTTCTCTTTAATACATACATTAATTTATTAAACAGTGTAGGGGTGAGAAGTATTTTTTTCAATATTTGAGTTTTTTATATGCAGATTATTGACTTCATTTTGGCGGATATTGTTACAATGTTTCGACCGTTATGCCCTACGGACTTTATCAGGCGTGTCTATATTTCATCAGGAGTAAGTCGATCCTGGTAACCACGGGGGAGGTTTGAACTGAACAGTTTATTTAATATATTTTGCTGTGGGAATCTGAACCATGAAGTGGGCGTATTTGGAGAAAAATCATCTGTATCTGTGTGGCATCTTTTTTTTGGTGGGCGGGGAATGGGGAAATTAGGAATGAGTATATGTTTTAATCAATTTAATCCAAGCAAGGCGATAATGCCTCTAAGACGCATCATTGTTAGTGAAAGTTAACGGGAAGGCGTTATTCAGGAGTAACGATATAACAGTAATAGGATTTAAGAAGACAGAAGATTTAAATTGGCGTTGCATTTAAATTTTTGGGTGCCAGGGAAGTAAGAAATCGAAAGGTTCACTTGTCAAGACGTTTCGAGGAAAAAACACTACTAAAATAAAAACTACTTTTGCACCTAGCTAGTTGAACAGTAATACAGTGAGACGTAGTTGTTAATCCCGTAGCACGCTGTAATTCATGCAGTTGAATCACTAAAGAGAAAAGCTCATCAGAACGGTTGATAAGTAAATATGAGTAGAAAAAACAGAGTGAAGCCACATCACGTCGGGAGTTTATATGCTAATTCAGGATTGATTATATTACAGACCCACCTTTGAATTTTCTCCAGAATCTTGTGATATCTAGTAGAAGCACGAGACCAGACTTGCAGTCATTTTATATCAATAATTTTAATCGGGCCAGAATTGTTGCAATGGTCTGATATTTTCGTTGTCCGTCTAAGTAGAATTTTCTTACTTTTTTGTTTAATATTTTTCCTTTAATTTTTAATTTCATTCATTTATTACAGTCTAGAATTCCTATGGATTTATGTGTAGTTAATGTTCTTGTTATTTTGTATGTCACAATGTTTCTTATTTATGCGATTTTCATACAAAACCTTGTGTTTTGTTGGTAGAAAGTTGTGAGATAGTTTGAAACTGACTGTACAGAGTCAAAATTTTTGTGATTTAATTTTTTCTGTAAAGACAGAAAGAAATAAAAATCCTTGGGGGCAAGTTTCTTCAAAGTGAATTTTGAAAAAAACGATCTTGCGTTGTCGTGGTTGAAAATGACACAGTTTCGATTTGCCAAAATCTGACTTTCTTAAAGTAAATCTCTTCAAAAGGCGAAAGGCAGCTGATTTATAGATTTCCAAACTCTTAGCAATCTGTTCTTCCGAAATCTTTGGTTTATTCTCCATGATGTCAAGCAGAGTGTCTTTATTGATGTCATAAGTTCACCAAGAGCGTGGTTGATCATTTAGATTAAAACCACCTTGACGAAATCTGCCAAACCCCTTTTTTGACCGTCTTGAGACAGATCCAAATAAAGCTACCGAATGTTTTCTTCAGTTTCGTAAGACACAGAGCATAATATGGCGAAAGAGCAACATTTTATCACCATCTTGATGACATTCATTTAAGTACAAAACCTCAACATTCAAAAGTCTGATCACAAGTAAATGTGGATTCCGAGATGAAATTCGGTCTCCAATGAATGACAAACGCAAGAATTAAAGATAAGAAATTAAATATATTTACACAATAATACAATGGGTATATTGTTAGTAAATCCAAGAACGCGGTTAGTCGTAATAATAATATATATAGATATAGTCCCAAAGTAGGACTTCCATAGAGTTTACGTGCTTGTAACTGACTTCTACAAGCGGTTACCTCACACTATTACTCTATCTCCAACACAATCACAATCTCTGCTCACTCTTCCAATATCTCTCTCTATCTCCCTATCTCTGACTGACTGTGGGTATTTAACGGCAGCAGTCCCAGTAACACTCTGGTCGAGTCCACTTATATGAAAAAAGGGTTGACCCCATAACAGTAAACGATGCAAAGTACAATCTATAAGCCACCTGAAATCGGCAACAAAGCAAAAGCCAGTTTCCAGGAGTGTTTATTTTATATCAACAATGAAAATGGCGCATGAACATTTGCAATGATACTGAAATATATCAGATTTATTATTCGAGGCCTGATCATTGCTTGCCTATGAAGAATGAAAGAATTTGGTGACCCCCTTTTTGGGTCTATGGGAAATATATGTTTGCTGTTGATGCATCTAAGCATATGTCAGGTTATGGATTAAGTCAAAATGGCTGTTGGAATCAAACCACCTTATGCAATCCGGATAAAAGAGGTTCAACTTTATTTAGAGAACTTTTTTTTTAACCCCGCCCACCCTATTATTTCCGAAATATTTTTAGAGTTGAACTGAAAACGCATTAGTGCTTCCACAATTCAAAGAGTCTAGGTTGCAGGTGCGGGTGAGGATTTATGTTCTGCAGAAGAAGACACGGTTGTGCGGGTGAATTACATTTCCAGGAAAATGGTCGCAAATTCGACGTAAACGAAGTGGAAGACGTAATTAAAAGAAATGCAATTAGACGACTCCGTAATCTTCATCAAAATTCAAAGTCTTTGGACGCTTCGTGCAGCTGCGACGCGAGATATGATGAGTGGATTGTAGTGTGAGATATTAGTCAAATATGGCGATTAAGTAGGTTAAACGTAAGGAAGAAATTACTCTCCTCGTGCGCGGAAAGAGAAAGTCATATCGTTTGTGGTTTAATGCGATAACACCATAGTAAAAACGAGAGGGTTTCTACAAAGAAAGGAATAAGGAAGAAAAAAACGAAAGAAAGAAAAATAGAAATGACAGTGGTAATATAGAGATAGATAAGAAGCGAAGTAATGGCGTGTGATGGAAAAGTATAAAATAGAGAGAGAGACAGAGAGAGAATAAAAGGAATTATATATGAATTAGAAGTTAAAAATATGGAGAAAATGTCAGAAGAGAATAAAAAGTAAATAAACAAAGTGAGGAAGATAATGAAACTGGTGTAGGGAGATTGAGAAGAGGAGGAAAGGAAGAGAAAGGTAATTAAAAAAAATGGCGTGGAAAACGTTTGATGGTTAAAGCAATGAGAAAGAAAATGAGATTTCAAAGAAAGACAGGTAGAGAAAAAATATAGCGGAGTCCAACAAAAGAAATAACTATCTAATTTTCGCCATGCATCCGCATTCTGCTTTTTAAACTTCAAGAAAAATCAAAGCTTGGGAATTGCAATTAATTATATATATATTAATTATATATATATATATATATATATATATATATATATATATATATATATATATATATATATATATATATATATATATATATATATAATATAGATTAAATATCTATATCCGATAGAATGATAGGATATGAAGATAAACATAAACCGTGTATAAATCTACTAACATGTTTCGGCTATATCTAATCCTCATTAGGAAAGGAAATAGGGAGTAGAAAAGAAATTTTTGGTATGCTCATTGTTTTATATTGTTTAAGCCGACCTCGCGTAAATATATATATATATATATATATATATATATATATATATATATAGATAGATAGATAGATAGATATAAATGCAGAGAAATATGAATGTATCAAAACATTGAAAGATATATATATATATATATATATATATATAACAGCTGACAAATCAATATACCACATGAAATCCTTCAGCGCTTAGCTATGTAGCGGGTAGAATGTGGTCAAAGTGTTTTAATTGATTCGACTGTTTCCCATCGGCTTGTCTGAATCGTCTTCAAGAAGCGAGAGTAATATCTAAAAAGTGAGAAAATCTAAGCGTGATCCCATCTCACAGTTCTCACTGTTGCTCCAGATGCTGCCACCTTTGTAAATCACTAGCGGGTCTTAAGTGCCACTTAAGATTATCGCACTAAATATCATAACTGAATCATTTAAGCTGTCAGATCCTCAAACGTCCTAACAGATGGGAGAGTCCATTATATATATATATATATATATGTGTATATATATATATGTGTGTGTGTGTGTGTGTGTGTGTATAAGAAAAGTTTAATAGTCAGATTTAAATCAAACAAGGAAACAGTGCGATTAAAAGTGCTCAATAAACAATCGGGAGGTCAGATGAATCTACTACATTTGTTTGAACCATATGGTATCCTGATTTTTTTTTTTCATCAAATGAGGATCTTTTGAAAAAAATCGCCTGAGGATACCGTATCTTATAAACCAAGATAGCGGATTCAACTGACCCCTGATTTTTTTAGGCATATATATATATATATATATATATATATATATATATATATTCATTTCTAGATGCAATCGTCATGTTCACTTTTATATTTACACACGCTCTATCTCTGATATTGGACACTTTATCACGTAAATATAGCACATCTTAAGGCTATATTTCTTCATATATATATATATATATATATATATATATATATATATAGAGAGAGAGAGAGAGAGAGAGAGAGAGATGAACAGAGTTAAATATGAACGTATCAATAAATAGCTATCTATCGAACAATCTACCTAGCTAACTAGATAGATAGATAGATAGAAACAGAGAGACCTACGCAAATATCAAAATGTGGATAGATAAATAGATACGAAAAAAGAAAAATATCAATGTATAGATAGATAGATAGATAGATAGATAGATAGATAGATAGATAGAACAGTAGGAAGGTTAAAATATAAAGAGCTGCTACACAGTAACAGGAAAAAAAATCTGAAAAATCTAAACCTAGAATGAATGATAGGGAATTTCTCTTCAGTGCGAATGTTAAAATCGATGGAACCATTTCAGGAACAATGATAAAGAAATGAACAACAAAAGAATGGCAAGCAAAGTCAATTTATCAAAGAGAATTTAAAGAAATGACAGGAACGTTTCGCCAGCACAGTATCCAATGATAAACGAGGATTGTGCGCGTGTGCAAAAGGAAATTGAGTGTGAATAAGCGACTGGGCTTTGATTGCTACTATTTGATGCTAAAGTCAATACGAAAAATCAAAAAGATGAGAATGTCGACCTATGAGCGATTGTCTCGACGATTTGGCTACAAAATCTGTGATTATATTGCGTAAACGCTTGCCTGTATTACAAGTATACCTAGGTAGGTTAGGTGAGTGAAAAAGAAATCTGTATACCCAAAATGCTGCTCTTGAAGGAAATCAAGGAGAGGCTGATTTGTGCATTAATATTATTTTATTTTGTGCTATGCGAGTTCGGGCTTCTTTCGATGTCTTTGATTGATATTATAGGTCAAAGACTGAGATATACATATAATTTCATATACATGCCGCAGCCAAAATAACATGATTTAAATGCTGAAGTATATCAAGCAGAGTGCACCAGTTGAACCGTATCATATCACCAAACAAGTTTCACGTCATAGTGCGAAAATGACAGACGAAAAGGAAGATTCATCATCGTGCATCTACATATGTAAGATAGATATATACATAGATAGATGTAAAGAAAGAAAGAAAGAAAGAAAGAAAGAAAGAAAGAAAGACACTTTGGAGATAGATAGATAGATAGATAGATAGATAGATAGATAGATAGATAGTGTTATGGTCCAATATCCTCGCACCACAGTTAGAACCAAGGAAGAACAACACGAACACAAGAGTAGAATAACAAAAATATATTACAACAGAAATATAGTACAAGAAGTTGAAGGTGTTTGTAATGACTGTCTGTCTGGTTTAGAATGAAATAATATTGTCTCAACTCGTTACACCATTCATAATATTTATTTCTGTAAAATTACAGAAAATGTGGCACAAGTTCTAAAAAATGGGATAGAGAAAAGGACGGTCTTCATCTGTCTTAATTTAAACTTAGCTAGCCACAAGCACTGACCCAAGCATACAAACAATATTCCTAGCACCAAAACACCACATTCTTACTAGCCTGTCTTACGACATCCACCATAATTCCTCATTGTCTCAATGAAAATCCTAAATCCTCCACATATGTACAAATCGTCATATGTGGGGGGGGGAATAAAACAACAAATAAAAAGGATCCCCACTGAGTATATACAATATGAATTAATCTATTTACAAGAAACTAAGCAAAATTATTGTTAGTAGTAAAAAAAAAAAACACAATATTTAAATGTGGCAGAAACATCAGTTCACTGGAGGAAATCAATGCAGGCCTACAAAATATAAAAAAAACATTCATTCATCCTTAACACTCACACAGACACACACTCATCCAAACACGACAACAGAAAACGAAAAACACACACAGTCGAAAAAAAAACGAAAAAGCGCCCCGCATCCACCAGAGAACTGACATCACTGACCACCTAACGAGGGAGGGGATGGGAAATTAAACTAAAGAAAAAAAATAGGGACATAAATAAAAGGGGCCAATGAGCAAACACACCCTAGCTAAGTTTACTGGAAAAAAAAGAAAAAAAACTAAAGATTCAAATAACAAAACCTACACTAACCTAATTTCGGGATGGGTTGCCCAAGTTCAACCAAGGAAGAACAATATCCGGAGGCCTAACCGGGGCATCAAAATGCCACTCTAGGTCAGCCCCCTTTTACTCGACACAATCGCGCAACATTCACCCACCTTTTACCAAATTCCGATCAGGTGAGCCGCCGCTTTTCCGTCCTAATCTTAACTTTAAGCTGATGCTTAAAGAACAAAATCAGTTCGGAAGAAGTGAACTTCTCGCCGTCATAGAATTCTTTCTTACGTGTCGTCCAAATCACGACTCTCATAAGCCCTAGTAAGCAAAAGAACACATATTATTCAGCCTTCCTCATCTGCGCCACCACATTGCTACAAATAGAACTGGCTTCAAGGACAAAGAAATTTCCTTGCAGCATGCGGTCCATGAGACCTTCAACAGACCTGCAGAACGGCACTACCTCCCTGCAATGAAAGAAGGCATGACCAACGGTCTCGACTTCCCAACTACAGCGACGGCAGTTTAGAGATATCTCCAAGCACGCTTAACAAAGTCTTTATGCGACGCAGAGGGCTCCACGAATCATCAGCCAGGTGAGTGATGCCTCATCGTTATTGAGGCATTTCAACCCAGACGCCCAATGCCATATTGAGCGATCCTCCTGCTTCGTAAGACCGAGCTCATCAATCAGTTCATCGCGCACGCCACCCCCACTGACTAACACTTGATATAATGCCCTACGAGACAACGCCTCAAGGTTGGAGAGTCCATCCGAAGCCCATAGGAGACGTTGCAGAGCAATACGGCATTCACGATAGAAGGAGCATTCGACTTGGGGAAAACGATGGGCCTCCTCCTCGCTCGAGTGCACACTTCTCAGGGATGGGAAAGTTTTACGGGCCTCTTTCTTCCAGAAGGCGCCCTTGTCATCCGATTCGCGGCACATTCGATCTAGGAACCCGACGCGAAGCATATATTGACGAATCTTAATGCTAGACATACCCACACCACCTGCAGATGGATTAAGGCAACAGATCTCCCGACAGACCATAGGAGTTTTGCTTCTCCACAAGAAAGAGAACAAAAGCTTTACTAATGACATTAGTGTGGTATACGGAAGTGGAAGTACAGAGAGTCGGTAAAGGAGAATCGGGTACTTTCGCCCTCCCCTTCAAGGAAAGATTCCTCCGGGACCACAAATTAATTGCGATTTCGGCCTTCCCTCGTACCTCCGACCAATTCATTTCCAACTGGATATCAGGACCGAACCAGACGCCGAGTATCTTGATCGGCCCATCCGTCCAGAGGAAAGGTCTGTGAAGAGAAACTCCCAACCGCAAGCCAACATACTTATCGCGGTTGATCTTGGCCCCTATGACCATCTCATAACCACTGATCTCTTTGCTGACTTCGTCAATCTCTGCTCGACACAAGAACCGAAACGTCATCAGCATCGGCTGAATACTATCGAAAGCCTTGGACTGATCTCAATTGATCAGCGCGGCTTCACTCTCGACTTTCTCAATGATCAACCGTACCATATGAAGGTTGTCCTGAATAGTCCTACCCTTCTAAGTCTATTCGGAGCCAATCAGACTAGCCAGGACAGCCTGCAAACGGTTGGCTAAGATCTTTGCCACAATCTTTAACTCTGTATTTAACATAGTTAAAAAGCGAAAATTACCTATCCAATCCTCACCGTTCTTGTCCTTGCATTGCAACTTGATCACACCCCTGGTGAAGCGCTGAGGTATAGACCCCTGCTTCATCCAGTTGTTAAAAATCAGTTCCAGAAAAGGAAGGAAAACGGGCGACTGTTTAATGTAAACTTCATAGGGAAGACCATCTAATCCTGGAGATTTATCCCGGCCAACCTGTTTCAAGACTTCTCAGATTTCCAACTCTGTGATGGGACTCTCGTACCTAGCCGCTTCATCTGCCTCAAGACAAGGGAAGCCGGCTAAATAGGCGTCGAACTGAGCAGGGTGAAAAGTTCCTGAAAGTAGTCACGAAAAGCCTCACATATGCCCGCGTTTGAAGTCACGGTCCGCTTATCCGGCAATGTGACGCACGCGATATGTCGCCGAGATGCATTCCGAGACTCGTCTGCGCGCAAGTCAGCGGCAATATTCTTCGCCTCAGAGGACATTCTTTTTAAACTATCCCTAACTACCAGAGCTTGATCCTTCTTGATAAGAAAGGAGGACAACTCTGCCTTAGCTAAGGCTATTTTCCCACTATCACTGGATTTCACTGTCCGATCTACTTTTTTCTCTAAAGCCGTTTGCACCGCTAATCTATTTAGATTGAGTCCGCGGCTAAAATCAGCAGCAAACCTTTTAATTTTCGACTTTAAATTGTCCCACCAGACATTTCCAACAATCGCCCTCATCAATTCCCTTTGTATCACTAGTAGCAGCTGGTCCCAGAAATCCTGCTCACCAAATAGTGAGCAGTTCAATTTCCAGTATCCAGCCTACCTAACCTTAGGCTTATCTAGGTTTACACGGACCCGGACAAGCCTATGGTCCGTATAAACTATATAATGAAAACTTGGACACCCCAAGAGCCCTATATCGACTCTCTTAACTAACACTCAGTCGAGGTAGATAGAAATAGCCCCCGCATCCGAGCCTCCCCTATTTGTCCAAGTCCAAACTACCTCCCGAAGGTGCTCATTCCGGTACTTATCGACAAGATCAAACCTCTCGATAAAGTCCCGAAATGGTTTCACGTCCCGGTCGTTAGTATCCGAATTTGTCCCTCTACGCTCTATAACGGGGTCAAGGACGGCATTCCAATCCCCCGTTAATACTACCCGACGAGATATCATCAAAAACGGCTCGATCTGCCGAAACAAAGAAGGCCGCTCAGAATGGACATTGGGCGCATAAACCCCAATGAGACGAAGAGCCTTATCCTTTATGGTAACATCCAGCACACAAAGCCTGCCCGCCGGATCTGCGAAGAAAGGAGTACACGTAGCATTCAAAGACTTGCTCACTAGCCGATAGACATCTCTCGAACGACCATCAAAACATGCTGAATAGAGGGATGACCATCCTAGACAGAATGTCCTCACCGTCATGAGTAGAAAAACGGGTCTCTTGTACACACAAACATTCACTCTGAGACGCTGAAGGTCACGAAAGAGGATCGTCTGCGAGACTCCGCCCTCAGGCCTCGGACATTCAGACTAGCTAACCAGAGAGTCATAATGAAACCGATTAGTGTTGCTCTCCTGCATTGAACATGGACAGGGAAAGGACACCAACGGCCTCTCCTATCGAGCCTGTTCCCATCACCGAGATGGGTGAAGAAAAAGAGGAAACCTGCCTGAACAAAATTGTTGCAAATTTTTTACACTGTCGTTGCCAAAGCAGGCGGAAACATGCCAAAAATTTCATTTGCCTCCGCAACCATGGCCCAAATTTGTTGTCCAGCTTCACCCCCTCTGATCACAGTTAACACCCTTTTGGCATTGGGGAAATTTTTAGGGTTTTCAACGTCTATGTTGTTTATTTTTTGGAAATTTACTAGAGATTTAATGTTCTTCATTTTTTTGGATTATCGAAGGGCTTTGTCCTCTTGTTGTCTGGAGACCCGGCACACGTCTTCCCCTCTGTTGAAAATCGGTTTCGGTTTTGTATATGATGTAGTGTCTAGATTTTCGGGAGAAGGGCTTCTTTGCCTTTTGGTAGTTTCAACCTGTTTTGGAGTTGCTGCCGAAGTTTTGACAGGGGATGGTTTGGGGCTAATAGTAGAAGTATGAAATTTGGCGGGTGAAACTCTGATAGGGGTCTTTTTTAATGTTGTCAGTTTTGAGGGAGAAGAAGATGAGGATCTAAGGACTGGAGCAGGGGTCATTATATGTTGTTTGGCTAACGGGGAAGACGGTGCCGAGGAGTTGATGCCAGATTTTTTTTCCATTTTGTTTCAAAGAATCTTTAAGTTGGTGCAATTTTCGGCTTTCTCGAATGAAGGTTCGTATTTTTGTTTTTGTTGACGTAATTTTTCAGAATAGCTGGTCGGGGAGACACCTTTAGTACTGCTTGAGGGAGTGGGGCTGTTTGTGTCTTTTCCCGTTGGGGCTTCATTGGGACAAGGACCTGCTGCCTGGATCTTCTCTCTAGCTTTACCAACAACCTGC